AAGTGTATGCAAAAAGAGCTGCAACATGTCCTTCAGCATTAGCAGCACCTTGCTGCCAAAAAAATAAAAAAAAAGCTAGAGGAAGAGCAAAACATGCATTTAGAGGTTCACACGTTGGCACTCAGTCAATCGAACGTCCGTCGTGCAGCACAGGTGACAACAACGGAAATGAGAGCCTCATTGTAGAGAGCGTGCATCGGGACAGGATCTGTGCAATGCCAATGAGGCGAGAAGTTGGCTCACCTATGGGTCACTTAAATGCAGAGATCGTGCATTTGCAATTAATATTGGAAAGGAGAAGAAGCACCAAATCAGCTTACTGGAGGACGTTGTTGTTGCTAAGCTGTATGGAAACGAAATTCACTTTGAATTCAAGGAAATTTACTCAATATTGCATTAGGTAGTGTGCAATAGGTGAGTTTCGGTGTACTGAGTAACCAAGTGGCTACAAGCTGACATGCAGCTTGGAGGATGGCGAAGAGACAATTACGCATAGTTCAAGCATTCTTTGAAGTTGTCATGCCTAAGAGCCAAAAGTGTTGCGTAACATGGTAGAGAGGAGTGCCAAGTGGGTTCACACTGTCATCACAAACGACAATACTTTCAAAGTTTCAGTAATTATCAGCCACCACAATTTGGATGTTGGTAGAATGATGGCACTACCATGAATGTAGAGTATGGCAATTTGAAGTTGTCTTTGGCAGGGCCCCAATTTAGAGCTTATCAAAACGTGACCGCCAACTTCTTCTTCGCGGCGAAAGTAGTGGGAGGAGGAGTTTATGGGAATGAGAGGCTCATCTCCAGTTCTGCTAACCGTCGACGTTGGTGCGCCTATTGGACAATGAGCAAGGAAACCAACTTACTTGCCTGAGTGGAAGTCGAGTTGGGAGGTGTACGCAGGGGAATACGTGAAACTGTGCCAATAACATGCGTGTGGCTACAGAAGTAGGGAAACAGGCTTAAAGGTGAATAAAGCACCTTAGTTAGTCGAACTTGCCTACTTCACTCATTTTTCACTACCAGAGCAAAAAAAGTGTTTCGTGAAGTAAAGGAGAAGAAATTGACCCTATTGAAGTGTTAGTGCCAGGAACTATTGCGAGGCCCGTGCCCTCTAGGACAGAAGATGCAGAGTGACTGTGACGACGTTGTCGCCTCTATACAACCAAAATCTTATTTCATTTGCCTTAAAAAGGCTTTCAAAAAATCCTTTCTCCATTTAGTCAATATCCATCGTGGCTGAAGGCCAAAGCAAAGGCGCCATCATTAGCATTACCACTTTGGTTTGTAATTTGTTCTGCTTAACGCTTGAATGTTGCCATAGCCGAACTCGACTGCAGGTTGGCTAGTGGTTCATTGGCTAAGACAGAGGCATTGCGTAAGAAGTAAGGCAATGTACAATGTGAGAGAGAAAAGTGCTTTACGGTGGGTCCAACTCGCCTCACGCCATCAGCCTTGAAGCAATGTCGAAAGCACCTCAACAACCAGGCACTACGATGAAATGCTCCACTGCACTGCACGCCGAGGTCGGTCATCAAGCCTTTCAAGAAGTCAGCAGTGTGGAATGGATGTGGATTCGAACTAATAAAAATGCAATGAGTAGTTTGGGTCTGTCATAAAGCCCTTCTTATAGGCGTCACCTTGCAGGGAAGCAGCATGGGAGAGACATTTCATGGTGGGGAAAACGGCAATCCCGTCCTACCATTTGAGGCGTTCACTCACCTGCCTAATCCCAATCTAAAGTGACTACCAGCGATTAACCTCCAGCAAAATACTCAAGTCTTTCGTATTTGACCGATCCAATTCGTGTAATGTTCACGACGAATGTTCGTTGTTTTGCCAAATTGCTATAAATGGAGGGCGAGAGAAAAGGCGCCTAGACTACTTCCATTTGAAAGCAGGGAAGTTGTATCACCGGAGTGCTCAGCAAACTAACGATAATAAACGATTTAGCAACAAGTCAGTCTTCATGTTTAGGAGGAAAGAGGTGGAGTCAAGACAACGGAAAGTGACTGACGATTTGTGAAGGGAAGTGGTGGTAACAATCTGCCAGAAGATTTGAGCACCGAAGTTTCACTCCCTGAGCCTTCAACATCAACCCGGAATTCGACGTGCTCGTACCTTGACAGCAGAAATGACCTCGCCGAATCTATTCCATCTAAATGCAAAACAAACCTGGGGATTGTGCTTTCCCTCTGTCTTCTTGCCTCCAGCACTGACGAATGTGAAGGACTCGAATGTCGTCTTGACCAAATGCAGTAAACACAGCTGTGGCTGCCTTTACTATTTGTAAGAGCAAAGACGCAATTCTTGGGATGCCAACAAACTACGAGGTTCCTCTACACTTTAAATAAGGAAAAGCTGGTCTGCGGTGACATGCAACTCCATACGTCAGATGCGCGGTCACCTTCTTTCCATTCATGCATCGCATCAAGCGAATCGCTTCGTATTTTAAAGCAGTGACCCTAATGTTCACTTTAGTCCATGATCACACTTAGTCGAGGCAGTGCGAAGCAGATAACTACTTCCGGTGTTCTGCGTGGCCAGTTTGGTCTCCTTTTGATGGCTTAACTTAAAACATGTGCAGGTTTTATGTTGTACTGCACAGAAAAGTAGTCGGCAAAAAAGAAAGGGTTGACCTCGTATCCTAATAGTAAAGCAGAATCGGAAGATGAGCCTGATCTTCAGCATTCCACGCATTCGCAATCTCAACCGTTGCTTGGTGCACGTTTTTGTGTGCTCTTCAGCCTGACTTAATTGTTACGGTTGGTGGTTTGTTGGCAGGTGAGTTGGTACAGAGAAGAATGGCACATGAACATCACACCACCATCCAACGCGTGCATTCAAGCGATGCATGCATGCAAGTTTCGTAATTGCACTCAGTCCTCCCACCTTCAGCGTCCGCGTACCTGACTTGGAGCTAGGTTGGCAGTCTCATCATCCTTTTCTCTTTCGCTCTGATTGACAAATTGCTAATCGAGTCGCTTCTCCTCCACTTACGTTATAACTAATCGGATAGGCACAACAATCGGCTTCCAGCAAAGTACATTCGAAGGTCTGAAACCAAGGATAGGAAATCCGGTTGTGCACACACCACTTGGCTACGAGCTCTTCCTCCACTTCCACTAATTTGCCCATTGCAGGTATCATGAGCATTGATGACAAAAGCGTGAAATCGCGACGCATACGCAATAGAGTGAGAAACGCCAAAGGAGGCTTAAAGAGCATTCAGATAAGGCGGTAATGACAAAACACAGTAGAGGGAATGGCGAATGTTCCTTCGGGCAGTGCTCCGCTCTCATTTGTCAAATAAGAAAATTTCGGTGGTTGTTGTAATGGCGTAGCTTGCTTTCTCGCCCCTCCTCTCCTACTCGTCACTTCCATTTGTTATTCAGACTGGCTACCTCAAAGCAGATATTTTGCCTCAAAATAGCACGCGATTTCTGCAAGCGATTGGTCATTTTTGCCAAAAAATATATATTACCCACCGTCTCCTTCGTCTCGGCTTCATTGTTGTGCACTTTGCCATAGCAAAGCGAAACTGATTGCCTGCAAACTCATTCGTTGTGCAAATGTAGGTGTTTTCATCAACCTTGCCCCTCTTCTTCTTTAGTATGAGATGTGATGGAGGAGGTGAGGAAGAGGGAGAGAGAGAGAGAGGAAGCACAAGAGATATGCTTTTAGGTTCATGCAGCAGACGCACACAAATGCAAGGCAGCTTGTCTGCTAAAGTAGAGGTGCTGTGTCGCTTCAATGATGACAAAATGTGAAAAGCTGACAAGCGTAAAGTGCACTCCGTCACTGTCTCGCGCTGTGGCATCACTGACGTCTGCATTTCCCTTTCCCCTTTCCTGTCCCCTCCAGTCCCCATTGGAAGGCACCTCTGCTGTCTCATCATCTTTCAGTGCGAAGAAATCTGACGACACCTACACGATTCTCTACGCACCAGGCATTCACGTTGCCAACTTAAAGCCGCTTGTCCAAAGTCCCGGTGTAACCTGATTCCATAGACACGGAGACTCATAGGAGCTGTGGTCGTGTTTTATTAGACCGCTCAAATGTGAAACCGGAGTCATGGAAGTGGGGACAACTCATTTCAGGCTCACAGCACGAGAAAGCAACAAATGCGGCATGTTGAGCCTCGTGTTAGACCGAAGTCGGAGGCAGGCGAACAGCTTCTCCTTTATCTACTAGCAACGTCTTGCCCTTCGTGGACTTGCAATGCTATGTGCAAGGCTAAATCAGACGCGAAGGTAGACACTACTTCTTCCTCTAACCTGTCTGCGCGCATTTCACCAGCCTGCCCACTCGAACAAAGTTGATCGATGCGTTAGCAGCCTAACGTCTCATGCCTGATGTTGAAGACTGAACTGAAGTTCTATGCACAAACGCATCTCCTATTGACTTGGGACAGTTCACTAAGAATGAAGAGGAGAGTGCGAACGGGTGTGCAGATTAGGAATACGTGTTGCATAGTGGGGAGGTGTTGAGGAGTTGCAGAATCCATTGGAGGGCACATGGAGTAGTCTCACTGTTGGCACCAGTATCATTGTCGTGCTATCAGACAAGCGCTGAGTGTGAGGAGATACCTTCCAGTGACCCACAACGCCGGCGTCTGTGCGCCTTTTCCGTGCTGCATCACAACAGACCACGCGGCAAGCTTCGCACAGCTCATGCTGCTGCTGAGCGATGACACCTCTTGGCAACGAGGAGGAAGAAAAAAGCATAGCCGCGACCATTGCGATGGTGGCGCTTGCTTTAGCTGAAGGCGTTAGTGCACTTGTTGATATTATTTTCTTCTACGTACTTCCCCCGCTTCGGTTACGCCTCGTCATTTATCTTCATTTGGTTACGCCTTACCGACCACCAAGAAATGCACCAACCGCACACCCAACTTATCATTATGCGTGTGTCCGTCAAAAATATGCACAAAGCAAACCATAAACCACTAAACACAAAACAGAACTTACTGCAGAAACAATACTAAATGACACTCAGACAACTAGCAGCATTAAAGCTTTCCTTCTAAAAAGAAGCGTGCTATAACATCCATCCTACTCATCCTCCACTCTTTCAGCTAACAAGAAAACGCTTATGGTGAATAGCAAGTCTGTGTGCAAACAAATGTTCCCACAAGTAATGAAGGGTAGTCGGTGGTCACGAGACAATCGCAGACGAATAGTGTGCTCACACAACGTTTAGGGGTTCTGCATTAACTGCTTTCGACTTCGCAACAAAAAGCGACAGCCAATTGTCAATGCCAGAACATTACGCTTCTCCTAGCAAAGTTCTCCCCACTC